TTTTTTTTTTTTTTTTTCCCCATTGAAATTAGAGAGTATATGGCCAGAACCCAAATTTAAGGTGAAAAAAATTAAGGAAGAAAAGGATCACTTAAGTTTCCCTACTCTGTATGTGCACACACATAGCTTAAACTCTGTAACTAATTACCGCAAAAAGGAAAATAAGGGAGAGACAGACTACTACATTTGACTCTGCTACCACTAGTTGTTAATAATTAAGGAAGAACTTCATTAAAACTCTTGGATGGAGAACAGATTAATGGTCACCAGGAGACAAAGATGGAGGCAGAGTGTCAAACAAAGAGCAGCAGCTGGGCATGAGAGAGTTGTTTCGTAGTCATGGAACAGTTTTGTGTCTTGATTGTGGTGGTCGTTACATGAATCTATATATGGATAAAACTGCATAGAAATACACAAACACAAGTGCATGCACATTTTTTTTTTTTCAAAGCCTAAAACTAAATAAGGTCTGTGGTCTAGTTAAGAGTAACGTACCACTGTCAATTTCTTGGTTTTCATATAGTATTGCAGCTATATAAATATCACTTTTGAAGGAAGCGGGAGCTCTGGTAGCATAGTGGCTAAGGCACTTGACTGCTAACCAGCTGGCGGTTCATATCCACCAGCCACTCCTCGGAAGGAAGATGGGGCAATCTACTTCCGTAGTGATACTGCTTCAGCAACCCAAGGAGGGGTTACTATGAGTCAGGTCAGACTTGACGGCACATAACAACAACAACAACATTGAATGAAGCTGGAGAAGGGTACACAAGACTACTCACTCCTCTTACTTTTACAACTTCCTGTGAATCTATAATTATTTCCAAATAAAAAAGTTTCAAGTGAATTTACTCTCAGTATTTTGTTAAAGCAACAATATCTTCAATGTCATAGGCAAGAAGATAGTGGGGTTTGCTCTTTTGGAGGCAAAGAAAATGCTTTTCAATGCAGTTCACTCATCTACTTTAATGATGATGATCAAGAAATGGTGGTTTTTGGTACTCTTTGCTGGTATAAATCTGGTTCCAGATGATAATCTAAAACCAATGTTAATTAAATAACGGACACATATTATAGAGGTAAATTTTCAAAGTGAGCAAAATATAGTCTGCCTCTGCTAATTCTTCAAGGGTAGTTGAGTAGGGGCACATAGATTACAGACTAAATATTGAACCAGGTATCTCCTGTCCTGTGATTGCCTGTCACAAAGGGAGATCGCTTACCTCAGCGAATCTGGACACACCACCAGAGCCTGAAGTATGTCTTCCACCCTCTTTGGGACGTCCCCTTGTCCCTCATGTAGCTGTGGTACACAAGCCTGTGCCAGCTCCCATTCTCCCCTTCGTAGGCACTCACAGAAAAATCCAAAGAGCTGCTTCTGGGAGAAAGCTTCCTCTTTTCCAAATGGATGATGCATTTTCCCAGCAAAGAGTGCAGGAAGGTGGCGCGGGATAAGTTACACCAAGCACATTCTCAATACTTTCATTCTCTGAATACCTCCTAAGAACAACACAAGCCATAGTGAGAAGAAAAGAGTTACATATATTTAGACAATCCAGCCACTACCGGCCCGACTGGGAAAGACGAGACCTACATTCCTAATAGTCATTTTTAAGTTTGACACTTTATTATTTCCTTTTGAGAACTGTCACCTTTCTCCAACGGGTGGATCCCATCTCTCTCCGCGCATCTCTTATTTAATATTAACCTTGTATTGGTACACAGCGCAGACACTTAACTCCGTTTCCGTATTCCCTCTAGAGCCTTAATTCTCAATCCAGCTCCAAATCCCCAGGTGGTCGCCTCCTCAAAGACGAGAAATTAAGCAGGAGCCCCCTAGTTTGAGCCCTGTGCTACGGCAGAGGACTGAAAATCAGGAGATTAATCTGTCAGAAGTTGAAGGCAGTGGGGGTTCAGGCGCAGGGACGCTTCCTTCTGGGGTCGCGGAGAGAGCTCCCACCCACTCTGGAGTGCCTTACACTCACCTGCTCCCCGCGCCCAAAGCAACTGAGCCTCCAGCGCAGCCATGTTTGAGCTGGGTCAGGTGACAAATACCACCCGAAATGGGAGGAGGAGTGACAATTTAGAGCGAGTACTCCTATTGGCTCAATGGAGGAAAATACAAGTGACACGCCATATTTGTTTGGGGCACGTGAAGCCAGCGCTCAATACGAGGGAAAGCCTGGAAGCTTGGAAAGACTGAAAAACAAAAAACCAAACGCGCTGCTTTTGAGTGGGATCCGACTCATAGCGACAGCTCCTTGGGTTTCCTAGGCAGTGTCACTACGGAAGTAGATTGCCCAACCTTCCCGGGAGTGGCTGGTGGGTTTGAACCGCTAGTCTTTTAGTTAGCAGTCAAATGCCTTAGGCACTACGCCACCAGAGCTCCTTTGGAGAGGTTAAGAAAGAGTAAATCAGCTTTCTGGATTCGGCCCATCCCTCTCATTTGTGACAGCTCCACTGCTCAACAGCGTGAGCTGTGCGTTCCTCCCAGTAGGTGGAAGGAGTAGCTGTTTTCCTTGATTTTTTTTTCTTCTCTTTTCTTTCTAGCCTTGTTGTTAGGTGCAATGGAGTCGATTCAGACTCAAAGCGACCCTATATACAACAGAACCAAACACTGCTGGTTTCTGCAGCCATTCTCACAATCCTTGCTATGCTGGAACCCATCTTCGGAGCCACTGCGTCAAGCCATCTCTCGAGGGTCTTGCTCTTTTTGCTGACCCTTTACTTTACCAAGCATGATATCCTTCTCCAGGAAATGGTCCCTCTGACAACATGACCAAAGTAGGTGAAGCAAAGTCTGGCCATTCTCGCTTCTAAGGAGCATTCCAGATGCATTTTTTTTTTTTTTTAATTGTGATTTCGGTGAAAGTTTACAGAGCAAATTGACTTTCCATACAGCAGTTCACATACACTTTGTCTCATGACATTGACTGCAATTTACCACAATGCAGAAGCTCCCCTCCCACTTCTTCCCTATAGTTACCTCTTTCCTGTGTCATTCCCTCCATGCACTCCTGCCCCCTGAGCTGTCGCCCTGTGCATACACAGCCTTCCTATTCTCCCATGATTGCTCTATCCAAGGAGTGTATCCACCTAGTGTAAATGTTCACCTCATATGCTTGTCTTTTGTTTGGCTGGAAGCCACAGGTGTGGGTGGGTTCCATTCCAGACCTGAAGGGCAGCTAGGGGCCATAGTTTCAGTGGTTTCATCAGGCTCTCAGACCAGCAAACCTGGTCCCCCCCTTTTTTTTTTTTCCAAACGATTTTGAGTTTTGTTCCACCTTGTTCTCCCACTCTATCCAGGATCTCCTACATGGATCCCCCTTGGAGTGGTTGACAGTGGTAACCAGGCACCATCTAGTTCTTCTGGTCTCATGGTCATATAGGTTGAGGATCGCATGTTGTACCAGTTGCTTGGACCAATTGTTTCCACGAATCTCTGGTTTTCTTTATTCTTCTTTGCTCTGGATGAGGAGAGACCCATCATTGCATCTAGATGGCCACTTGCAAGCTTTTAAGATTCCAGTTGCTACTCTCCAAAGTAGGATGTGGAACAATGTTTTGTGGAACATGTTATGCCAATTGAGCTTGATATCCCCTGTGACTATGGTGCCAAGTCCACAGGTCCAATGACTTGCTCCCTCTGGGTAGCTGGCTGTGGCCAAGAAGTGACTACAACCTTGTTCCTTGTCAGCTCTACTATATACCTGGTAATTCTTACAGAAGATATCAATGTTGTTGTTGTTGTTGTTGTTGTTGTTAAGTGCCGTCGAGTCGTTTCCGACTCATAGCGACTCCATGCACAGCAGAACGAAACACTGCCCGATCCCGC